TCTGGTCACCTTATCCATGTTCTGTCTTAGGGTCTCCTTGGACCGCGGCTGTTTTTCCACTGTGGGCTTCTTTCGTTCAAGGTTCAGCTCTGGGCCCTGAAGAAGGGAGGTCCTCACAGTGTCTCTCTATTCCTAAGAGAACCAGTAGGTTTGTGCTGTTGCTAAGCTCTGAGCTGCTTCAAATCCTTCTATTTGACTTCTCGGCTTTTTTGCCTTCTCCCCACCTAATCCCCTGAGTTCAGTTCCCTCCATGTGAAATGCCTGGCGTGGTTTTGGCTTCCCTAACAAAACACAGGTGTGTGTCTGCCCTGTCTCCAGCACAGCAACTGACCCAGAGCAGGATCTCAGCACAGTCGTGTTGGCTGAGTATACTTTTGATTCTAATATGTTGAAAAAGGCGGCATTTTGCCCATATTTTCCTGGCCTTCTCTCCGCTCTCCTCACTTATAACCGAGAGCCAAGCCCGAGCACGAGGGGTGGTTGGCACGAGGGCACTCCCAGGGACCCCACGCTCACATCGCTCACATTTGGAGAGATCTGTCTAATGCATCTCTAGTTCGTGTACCCAAGCCCCAGCTGCCGATGGCCTCATCTACATAACAAGGGCCATCAGAGAACCAAAGTAAACACCCCCAACCTTGGCCCTTCTAATCAATCACATGGCATGAGTGAAAAGCATAGGTTCAAGTGGAAAGGCCAGCCCCAGGAGGTCAGCTCTGTCCACCAGACTTTAAAGGGCTCCACTCCCCCCACCCACCCCACCAGGTGCAGGCCTCGAATCCCCAGCCAGGGAGAAAGCAAAGGAGGCACTTCCAGTACGTCTTGTCTGCTGTGGAATTCGCTTTGTAGGAAGGTTCAACTGAATGCTGGTTGAAGGAGAAGAGATAGGGAAGCAATGGGTCTGAGGTCTCCCGAGCAGGCCAGTGGGCTGCACCCTGCTGTGCCCGCCGCTCTGTGAGCCTGGGGAGGGGAAGCTGACCTGTCCAGGAGGGTGCTGCCTGCTCTGTGCAGAGGCCCAGCCTCTGCAGACAGACCCGTTCTGTGTCTCCTACTCTCCAACCCTTGGGTCTTGAGTGGATGATTGGCTTGGTCAGTTTCCTCATCTGGGAAGCGGGCACCTACGCAGTGGAGCTGGGAGGCGAGGAGCTGTCCCGAAGGACAGAGGGGGTGATTCACCCAGGGTTAGGGCTCCAGCCTGGAGCTCTCCTTTGCCTGTGGCTGTCAAGATACCCCTCCTCACGTCGTCGTCTGCGCGTGCACTTTCTCTGCCTTTACTTACCTAATCGTCTTTGAACACATCTTGTCAGGCTTTAGGAGCCCTGGTAGTGTAGTGGTTACTCGTTGGACTGGGATCTGCATGGTCAGCTGGTCAAAACCACCAACAGCTCTGGGGAGAGAGACTGGGCATTCTACTCCTGTAAACAGCTCAGTCTCTGAAACCCAATGGTGGGGGGCAGTCACTGAGTCAGCATTGACTCGATGGCAGTGAGGTTTTGGGGGGAGGGGGAGGGGGTTGTCAGGCGTTAGGAGTAGCCGAGGGGCACAGTGGGTGAAGCATTAACTGAAATGTCGAGCCTATCAGTTATTTCGACAGAGAAAGGCGAGGCCGTCCACTTCAGTAGATGGACAGCCTCAGACTGCCCATGAGGAAGTTTGATTTTGTCCTGCAGGGTAGCTGCGAGTCGGAATCCACTCAATGGCTGTGGGTTTTGTTTCTGTGTTTTCTCTGGCTGTGGTGTCTGCACACTCCTCAGGCAAGCACGTCAGGGGGTCGTATCTGTCAGCTCTCTTTCCCAGCACCCCTCCCAGGCTCCCCTCCACGCCTCTCCTCCTCAACACCCACCTCCCTCCTGCTGCCATCTCCTCCCCGTCCCCCTCAAGTCCCCGTACCCACCCTCTCCTCTCTTCACCTGTCTTCCGTCTTCTCCTCCCTCCTCCTCCCCGGGACCCCAGGGGACTGCTAGGTGTCCATGGCGGCTGGCGGGGTCCTGGAGGAGGAGCAGGTCCCTCTTAGAGAAGGGCCGTGGGTGATGGGGAGGAAATGACTGCCTTCCCATCATGTGCCCCACTTGCCTCACATGCAGCAGGACTGACCCAAACCCACCCTTTCCCCTCTCGCCCCCTCCCTTTCTGCTGTTGCTCAGTTGTATGGCCCACCATCCTTCTCCCCTCCCCCCAATTCACCATTGGTTTTATTGCCCCATCTTCCTTATGAGTTTTGTGCAACCCTCACCCAGTTCAGGGACACCTTCAAGTCCCTCTTATATTTCCCCCTTCCTTCCTACCCCCACGACCTGCCCCCCAACTTTGGGTGTTTTAGAAACAGCCAAATGCAGTGGTTCCAAATGACTCTGCAGGCATACACTCCCCTGGGGGATTGGGGGTGGGGATGGGTGGAAATTCTGGGGTTTAAGTCCTTTGCTGCAGGACTTTTTAGAGCCTCAAAAATATGAATCCTCAACGTGAATCTCTGCAAGGGGATTTCGTTCTCAATATTTTCCACTTGACCCAGCACCTTTTCACAGAATCTCAAGGTCCCGGCAAAACTCTCAAACTCTCTGCCATGGAGTCGATGCTGACTCATGGTGACCTGATAGGACAAGGTAGAACTGCCCATGGGCATTTCTGCAGTGCAGACTACTTCTTGACAGAAGTAAAAAGCCAGTCTTTCTCCGGCACAGTGGCTGGTGGCTTTGAACTGCTGACCTGGCAGATCGCAGTCTAATGGGTAACCACTACGGCACCAGGCTCCTTCAAGGTTCCATAGGACACATTTTGACAAAATCTAGACTCCAGAATGACTGAGAACTGGGAATGCCTTATGCAGGCTAGGCGCTGGACACCAGGTCCCTAAAGGCGACCAGACACAATCCCATTGACGGTGCACTTTTGCCGAGCCCAAGGGGAGGGCCATGCGAGACTGTGGAGAGCAAGGGCAGTCCGGGAGGACACAGCAGTGAGAGGACTCCCAGGGCAGCTTTGGGAGGAGGCAGGACAGAGCACCCCTTCACTAGTTCCTGGGCTCACTCCCCCTTTGGCCCCTAATCCTCTAAGGGACCCAGGCTCAGGGAAAGGATCCGATCCATCCCAGTACACCCAAGTGTGCCTGGGCCAAGTGCCACCGCTCTGGAGGAAGCTGCTCCGCAGAGATGAGCATGTCTACTGATGGGGCTCAGCCCGCTGCCTGCAGAGGGCGGAGCAGACTCTGACCTGCAGGGTCTCCCCAATGTCCCATGCAGGCCCCCTATAGATCCGCCGCATTATGTGCTCCGCCCCTCTGTGTAGCTAGCAGGTCACGCAAGTCTGTGCAGAATAAGAAACCTAATGTTCTGAAAGCACCAGGAGGCCTTGGCGGTGTTAACCTGCTGCTACTTAGCATCTGCTCACCTGCATCCTGGAGACTTCAGAGGGGCCACTAGGCTTAATAAGCAGAGCTAACAGGCTTGCGCTCCTGCTGCGGGCCAGGCCCAACCCCAAGCACTTCATGCATACTCACTGGCTTAATCCTCCCCGTGACCCGGGAGGAGAGGCTGTGGCCATTTTCCTGATTTCATAGAAGACGGAATCTCAGATGGGGGCCGGGGGGCAACACAGACACGTGGTTTCCCAGCTTAGAAGTACAGTGGTAGCCCTTGAACTCGGGCCAGCTGCCCCCAGAGGCTGTAGCAGTCTGCAGGGGACAGTGTTGAGAAAGCACCCTGAGACTTAAGGGGCATGTGCTGAAGGACCCACAGGGCTGAAGGCTGAGGGCTAGCCTGGGAAAAGCGACTGGCATTGCAGACCTCTCTGCCAGAGGCCTTCAGGGACCCTTAAGGCTAGTGCAAACTCTAAGCCATAGGCACCCAAGAAATAAACAGAGGATGTTCGAGAGTCCGTGGGGGGTGCTGTCTGGGCTGGGAGAACGTGTTTAGGTAAAACCACCATCCAAACAAGCACACTAAGAGAACCCGGCCAAGCCCAAACACAGTAAAGCAAACAAACAACCAAAAAGCAAAATACAAGGCCGCCACACAGTCAGTCACCACTTCTGCCTGTGGGTAGAACTGACGTTCAGCAATAGAAATAGAGGGTGTAAAGATGAGCACCTGAGGGTGCCGGTGGACAATCGGTGCCAAACAGTTTGGGCCTACGTGGTGGCTCTGCAGGAGAAAGGGCCGGCGATCTGTTCCTGGAAAAATTTGTGCCATAAAACCCCCTGGGGCGATGGACTCCGCCACTCGGAGTTGCTATAGCTGAAAAGGACTGGGAGGTACACAGCAGCAACAGAAACACGGCAAGGCTGAAGGATACCCAGGAAGAAGCGCAGCGGCCTGTGTGAGCACGAGGAGTCGATGGAGCAGGTGTCAGGCATTGAAGACCGGGAACAAAAGGTCATATGGATGTGAATGAGGGGAGTGCAGAGTGGAGACTGTAGGCAATCGGACATCCCCTCACAGAAGGGTCACAAGGAAGAGACGAGCCAGTCAGGGTGCAGTATACCACTGGCGAAACATACAACTTTCCTCTAGTTCTTTAATTCCCCACTCCCCCACTATCATGACCCTAATTCTACCTTACAAATCTGACTAGACCAGACCATGTACGTGGGTTCAGATAAGAGCTGGAAACACAGGGAATCCAGGACAGATAAGCCCCTCAGGACCAATAATGAGAGTAGCCATACCAGGAGAGGAAGAGGAAAGTGGGCGGGGGGAAGGGGAACCGATCACAATGATTCACCTCTAACCCTCTCCCAGGGGGATGGACAACAGAAAAATGGGTAAAAGGAGACATCAGTCAGTATAAGACATGAAAAAAATTATAAATTATCAAGGGTTCATGAGGGAGGGAAGGGAAAAATGAGGAGCCGATACCAAGGGCTCAAGTAGAAAGAAATGTTTTGAGAATGATGATGGCAACAAATGTACAGATGTGCTTGACACAATGGATGTATGTGTGGATTGTGATGAGTTGTATGAGCCCCCAATAAAATGATTTTTTTAAAAAAGGACATCAAAGGATAAGCACCATTTTTGTTTTTTCATTTCATTTTATCACATAACCCCTCTTACGACCCACACATTGATGTAAAAAACCCGCCAGGTACGACCGCCATGATGGAGTGTCCCCATGTCCTTCCTGAAACAGGTAGAGCACTCGGAGTGGGGACTCGGCGCACGGGCTCGGTCAGCGTCCGGTGGGACCTCATTTCTTCTTGAACACTTGATGACACACCTGGTCCCCGCAGGTCAGCTCCTGCATGTGGAGAAAGGAGACAAGGATGTGAGGAGCCTGGCCTTCCTTCTGCGCGGCCCCCTCCCTCTTGGTTCTCTGAGTGGGTTGGTGGGGGTAGCTGGGCTGGGGGACACTGCGTGATTCTGAGCACAGCTGTCATGCCCTGCAGGTAGCAGTAATTCGATTTTGACACTTAAATTGAGCTTGAACAACTATAAACATGAACATTGCAAAGGAATGGCCCTCTTGGGTGGGATTTCACCCATCTCCGTGATTAAAGCAACATGGCCTAATTTAAAGAAGTCAGGAGGAAAGGCAGGGTCTTGGGGGAGAAGCATTTGGGAGCCCAAGGCCTGGGAAGGGGTGGCCTGCTGAGCTGGCCCCAGGGGTTATTGGTGACTGTCCCACAAAGGCAGAAGGGCTCCCCCTGACCTCCCTGGGCTTACTGCTGAGTCTTACTCAGCACAGGGGACCACCGCCCTTCTGTAGCTCAGTGACCCCGATGGAGGAGGGAAAACATGAGCGAGGGATGACTCCCATGATCATTGCAATGGACAATGAACGAAGCCATTGTTTCAGCCACGGGAGCCGCTGGGGTTTGTACTGCAATGTACAAATCCAGCATCCCAACCAGGGGAGGTAAGGAAAACAGTCCATAAAAGCACAGGGAGTGTTTCGCATTTATCCCTGGTGGACATTGCCTCCGAAAAGAGACGCAGGTGCAGCCAGGCTGGCTCTGAAGGGCACTGTGGCGACCCGCAGCCTGACACCCAGAGGCTGACTCCATGGGTCAAGGAAGGAGGGCCAGAGCCAGCCGTCCAAGGCCTAGGAAAAGGTGTGCACACATGATGCATGGTTCTTCACTATTTAAGCGCTGGGCTCAGGATTTACCCCGAAGACTGGAGAAGGGAAAATGAGAGTTATCCAGCCAGGGGCAAGTGATTGGAGGATACTAGCAATTCTTCCCACTGCTGAGCTCTCCTACCAAACTAACCTACAATACTGGGGGTGGGCTGGTGGGGGCGGGGGGCTGTGATGGGAAGCCCCTGCCCGTGGTCCACAGAGGGACAGTTCGTAAACCCAGCTGCCCCCTCGCCACGCGCCTCTCAATATGTGAGAAGGCCGTTTGCTCCCTCCTCTGAAGGCATCTTCGCTCTGGGCTCATATTTCTCCCCAGCCAGTCTTTAACAGGTTACCACCTTTCTTCTCAGATCTGGGCTTCCTAACTCAGCATTTTGAACTTTCTTTCTAACGGCAGGTGGTCACAGAAGCAACCATAAGATTTCTTCCCAGAGTCCTCTGAGCCAGGCGGAATGGCTTTCTGACGATAGAACCACCTGCATTTGGCTGGAGCTCAGCGGTGGAGACCATGGCCATGTGCCTGACTGGTGAGCACGGTAGTTTGTCTGAGCAAGTGGACAGGAGCAGGGTGAGTCGGCGACTTACCAGGTGCAGTTTGTCCCCCTCAACCCACTGCCTCCAGCCACGGTTCGCCTTCTCCCCCTTCTGCACACACAGGAGGGCATCGCCATCCCAGGTCACCAGGGTCTGTAGAAACAGATTCACAGACCCATCAGATGCATGGGTTTTCAGCACTGAATAAACCAAGCCTGCAGCTACAATTCCTGCAGCCGTGCCAGGGCTCCTACTGGTTCCTGGGGCAGAGCTCAGCCGGGGCCACGCTGTGAGCTCATTTCCACATCAGCCTCCAATCCAGCCATGCCTGTTTACTGCAGCTTGTTGGCTCCCATATGAGGAATCCTTAATTCCACTCTGTTCTAAGGAATTCCTCTCTTTCATTTTACCATATGAGACAGATCGCATTTCAACTTATTTGACCACATGGTGATGTACAATTTCTAGAAGGAAGATATCACCTCAAATTCAATAGATGAAGTACAGACTGAGAAATAAAGTTGTGACACACATCGAACAAAATTTTGATTTCCTTTTATCTGTATAAAAAGCAAACCCATTGGGCCAATTCCGGCTTGTAGGCACCTCAGACCAAGAAACCAAACTCACTGCCGTGCAGCCGGTTCTTACCCACAACAGCCCTGTAGGTATTGCGTGAGCTTCCACAGCGGATCCCGAGACTGTAAATCGTCATGACAGGAGAAAGCCTCGTCTTTCTCCTTTGGAGCAACTGGTGAGTTCAAACTGCTGGCCTTGTGGTTAGCAGCCCAGTGAGTAACCTACATGCCTCCAAAGCTCCCAGACCGGCTCCAAAGGGCTGCTGTAAATCAATAGGGGACATCCTGGGCCTAATGGAAAAACCCACAAAGGACACGAGCCACCAGTTTATTGAAAAGAAAATTAAAAGAAAAACCTAACAGATGACTTTTACGTGTAAAAAAAGTGAGCCAATGCCACTTACAAGGAAAGCCATGCAAATGAAGGCCTGGTGCTGGCATGGGGACGGGTGGGGCAGCTGACTGAGAAGTCGTGGGTTAGAGCTCACCAACCACGCTGTGGGAAGAGAAGAGGCTGTCTGCTCCTATCAAGGTGCGCCATCTCAGAAACCCTGGGGAGCAGGGTTTCTCTGCCTTCCAGGGTCACTACCACTACGGGCCTTTTGTTTGAGCCCACCAACAGTTTCCAGGGAGAAAGAGGAGGCTTTCCACTCCTGCAAAGATTTACAGCCTCAGAAACCCCCAGGGACAGCACTGCTCTGAACTGAGTTGAGTCCCAAATTAGACTTGTTCGTCCACCACTCGTCAATCAGCTCACCACACTCCGGTGGCTTGAGTGCTGCTGTTAATGCTGGACACGATATCACCTGCATTTTCAATACCAGCAGGGCCACCTATGGTGAACAGGTTTCAGTGGAGCTCCAGCACACAGAACTGACAGAAGGAGGGAGAGATAGGCGTCGGCCCACAGGATCCGTCACTGAGAGGCTGATGACCAGCAGAGACCGTTTGTCTGATACAGTACAGAAGATGAGCCCCTGGGGGGGGGCGGGGGGAGACATGCAAACTAAGATGGGCAGGATGGCTGTACCACGGGCTCCAGCACAGCGGCACTGGGAGGAGGGGCGGCACTGGACAGGGCTTCCTTCTATGGGGCGCAGGGCTGCCCAGAGTC